GGGGTAGTGATTATCAGGTGTGTGTTGTTTGACAGATACAGGTCAGTCCCTCTGCAGCTCAAAGTACACACACACACACACACACATCCGCGCTGATGATCAGTGACAGACGCTGTGCACACTGAGTCATTAGTGCAGGTTCCTCCAGTGCTGTAGGGGAACTCTACTGTAGTAAACGCTGTGAGACTGCAGGAACTCCTCCACACGCTGACTGCTGATGTGGTGTGTGCTTTCAGACTGCTGATGTGTGCTGGAATAATAAGTATTGTGCATTAAAAGGCTGTCTCCCTCTGTGTGTGTGTGTGTGTGTGTGTGTTTTCCAGCATCTTGTTTGCTGATATCGTGGGCTTCACCAGTCTGGCGTCTCAGTGTACGGCGCAGGAGCTGGTCAAACTCCTCAATGAGCTCTTCGGCAAGTTTGACGAGCTGGCCACGGTGAGTCCCGCCCACTCTCCACTCTCATTGGCTCAGCCCTGCAGGGAGAGGCGGGCTCTGCGTAATCAGTGATGTGTATGTGTCCAGTGTGGATGTGGTGATGCGGTCAGACATGTGTCCCTCAGATATGTTCTTCATGTTCTGATGTGTGTGTGTGTGTGTGTGTGTGTGTGTGTTTCTGATGTGTGTGTGTGTGTGTGTGTGTGGAAGGAGAACTGTGTGTTCTTCATGACTGCTGTCTGTCATCTGCCATGTTTACATCCAGTCTAGTTGATCCTGACTGATTCCTCAATAAACACGTTGGTTCACATGGAAAGATGGAAGGGCGGCACGGTGGCGCAGTGCTTAGCACTATGGGTCGAGTCCCCGCTGTGGAGACTCCTGATGAATGAAGGGACTGAGCCAAAGGAAAATGAAGGAATAACTAAGATTGATTGTGATTTTGATTGATTTGGATTGTTTTAGTGATTAGTTTTGATGGTGATTGATTGTGATTTTGATGGTAGTTGATTGTGATTAATGACTGATTTTAATTGCATTGATTGTGATTGGTGATTGATATTGATTGTAGTTGATTGTGATTAGTGATTGATATTGATTGTAGTTGATTGTGATTAGTGATTGATATTGATTTAGTTGATTGTGATTAGTGATTGATATTGATTTAGTTGATTGTGATTAGTGATTGATTATTATGATTATGATTGATTGTGATTAGTGATTGATATTGATTTAGTTAATTGTGATTAGTGATTGATATTGATTGTAGTTGATTGTGATTAGTGATTGATATTGATTGTAGTTGATTGTGATTAGTGATTGATATTGATTTAGTTGATTGTGATTAGTGATTGATTTTGACTGTAGTTGATTGTGATTAGTGATTGATATTGATTTAGTTAATTGTGATTAGTGATTGATATTGATTGTAGTTGATTGTGATTAGTGATTGATATTGATTTAGTTGATTGTGATTAGTGATTGATATTGATTTAGTTGATTGTGATTAGTGATTGATATTGATTTAGTTGATTGTGATTAGTGATTGATATTGATTTAGTTGATTGTGATTAGTGAATAATTGATTGTGATCATTTGCAGTTTAGTTTCAGTTTTGATAATCATTGATAATCAGTGTTTTTGTCTGCATTGTGTACACGATGAACACGCAGATAAATCTTACTGTTGCTTACATGCACATGTGCGTGTGTGTGTGTGTGCGTGTGTGTGCGTGTGTGTGCGTGTGTGAAATCCTTTAATCCCAGGATTATGCGGCATGTTTTCTGTCCAGCAGTGTTTGAGTGTGACTGTGAGTTTGTTCACAGGTTTGATCTGATGTTCTCTGCGTGTGTGTGTGTGTGTGTGTGTGTGTGTGTGTGTGTGTGTGTGTGTGTGTGTGTGTGTTTTGTTGGTTTAGTCTTCAGTGTTCAGATGTGCATTATACAGTAAGTGTCATTAAGTATAAATATCTGCTGGTGACACGACATATAAACCACATCTTTAGTACTGAACTAAAGAAAATGAGAAACTCAGAAAATAAAACTAATAACAGATCAGGCGAGTGCTGGACTCTGATTGGCTGCTGCTCACTCTCAGGTGTTTGGTTATTGTCAGATAACCGCACAGCTCCATGTCATATATCATGTATGAGTACAGTATGAGTTGTTATTTTAAGAGGGAGTTAAATCTGGGAAAGTGTATGTCATCTACAGATAATCAGACTGCAAATGAGGAAAAACCGATGCAGTGAATCAGACAGACGTTCACCATACTGGCCATAACTTCAATATATTGATTGATTTCCATGACTATGGAAGTGAGCCGCTGATGAGTTCCAGAACAGAGTGTTATAGAGAGATGAGCTTGAGAAGTGCTTGAGTGATGTATATGGACAATAGCAGCGGGAGGCGGCACGGTGGCTCTGTGGTTATCACTGTGGCCTCACAGCAGGAAGGTCTCTGGTTTGAGTCTGGGCTGGGTCAGTGTGTGTTTCTGTGTGGAGTTTGCATGTTCTCCCCATGTTGGCGTGGGTTTCCTCCGCATGCTCCGGTTTCCCCCACAGTCCAAACATATGCACTATAGGGGAACTGATCAACTACACTGGCCGTAGTGTATGAGTGTGTGTGTGAATGAGTGTGTGTGGGTGTTTTCTAGTACTGGGTAGCAGCTGGAAGGGCATACGCTGTGTAAAACATGTTGGTTCATTCCGCTGTGGTGACCTCTGAAATAGAGGCTAAGCTGAAGGAAAAGGAATGAATGAATTTATAATGTAGAATTGTGAACATCGAGTAAACAATCAAACTTTTAATAATATGATACACAGCATTGACAATATATTATATAAGTTTTAAGAAATTCAAACTCAAAACCATTTTAATGGCATATAATAATCAGTTTTATTACATTTCAAAGTTAAGAATTTAAATAACCACAGTTCAAATTTAGATTGTTTCAGCATATTTTAAGCTCCATAGGATTTGGGACTGTGTGTGTGTGTGTGTGTTATGCTTCCCCTGAATATTTTGTGTTTGTGAACTCAGCGTTCAGGAGTGGCTCAAACTCGCGTTTTCTCCTCTGCTGAATGTACAACACCAACACGATCAACAGCAGGAGCAGCCCCAGAA